TTCAGACAAGTAGGGACAGGCTATGGAGACGTCATCCTTCATCGGAAGCTTCCCCATTGGGACCGAACTGGCCAGGACGCATTTAGCCCTCTGAGACAGATGCTGTTGGTGCATCTTATAAGGTTGAACTTATACTTTAAGTCCTAGCTTGTACAACTTTTTTTATTAGATCATTATGTGAAACTGTATCAAATGATTTGATTAAATCAAGATGGGCTATATCCACAGCACCTTTCTAGTCCATAACATTAGGGATATAGGGGGCATTTACTAAAGCTGGTTCACTCAGAATCTGGCACATCTGTGCATGGTAGCCAATCAGCTTCCAACCTCAGCTTGCTCAATTAAGCTTTGGCAATAAAACCTGGAAGCTGATTGGTTTCTATGCAGAAGTGAGCCCAATTTTACACTCTCCAATTTTAGTAAATAAACCCCATAGTCACAAAATTCACCTGGGTATTCTTTACAAAATGAAACTTTAGCACACTGACACAGGGGCGGACTGACCATTTGGAAACTCGGGCACTGCCCGAGGGCCCGGGGTCAGTAGGGGGCCCCATGAGATGCCCCTGGTACCTTTTTCATAGGCTTTTTGAGTTTGCGCAAGGACACAGGGGCCCCATGATCCCCTATTGCCCGGGGGCCCCATGAGTTGTCAGTCCACCCCTGCACTGACATTTTTCACTAAGGAAAATGAGTGCATCTTCACTTGTAAAGTGCAGCCTAATTGTCTGTAGTAAATTCATCCCATTGACTCAGAATAAACCTAAGAATGTTTTTTCTTCTTCCTTTGCTACATACATGTTCCAAACCAGTGACTCAAAGCATTTGCAAGAAAAAAAAGGTTGGACAACTAGCATTTTCCAAGGGTAGTAAAAAATGGCCACCTTAATATTTCTCTCAGCTCAGGTTTTAATTAAAGGTCAAGGAAACCAACAGAAAAAAACTGTTTTGTGAAGACAGCTGGCTAACCTTCAAACTATAATAAACACCCCGTCACGATTTTAAACCTTCCATACCATACACCAGCCATGAAGACTAGTTTCTATATTTGGTTAGATGGCTGATCCTTTCTTAATGGCTTCTATATAATACATAGATTAGGTGTAAAGGCCAGATGCCTATTGGAAGATAATGTCATATGTGCAGAATTGGCATTTAATTAAAAATCCCAGGAAAACAGAGCAAACCTAGCCAAAAGACACCAACTAAACTTTGCAAGGAAAGCCCAGCTGTCACTTGGCCTCAGGATCACCTTGAAAGGTAATACACCTTTATATACTTTTGATCAAGAAAGGAATGTTTAAAACCTCTGTTGACGTCTCTGACAGGAAATTGAAGTACTTGAGCAAGAGGCTGTAGATCTCATGTTTTTAACCACTTGCTCTCCTGAGGATTTACCCCCCTTCCTGACAAGGCCATTTTTTGCATTACGGCGCTGTTTTAGTTTAACTGGCAATTGCGTAGATGTGCAACACTGCATCCAAATGAAATTTACATCCTTTTTTTCCCACAAATTGAGCTTTCTTTCAGTGGTATTAAATCGCCTGTGCGGTTTTTATTTTTTTGCTCTTTAAAAAAAAAAGTCCGATGATTTTAAGAAAAAAAACTATATTTTTCACTTTTTGCTATTAAATTTGTCCAGTAAAAAAATAAAAAAAAAATCAAATTTTGTCATAAATTTAAGCCAAAATGTATTCTGCTACATGTCTTTGCTAAAAAAAAAAAAGCCCAATAAGTGTAAATTAATTGGTTTACGTGAAAGTTATAGTGTTTACAAATGGCTGTATATATACTGGGATTTTTTTTTAATTTTTTACTAGTAATGGCGGTGATCAGCAACTTATGCAAGACTGCGGCAGACATTCTGACAATGGGGGGACTGACTTGGTGTCACTGACATCCCCAGTGACATCAATACAGTGATCAGTGCTAAAAAAAAAGCACTGACACTGTACTAATGGCACTGGGCAGGAAGGGGTTAACATGAGGGACAATTAAAGGGTTAACTACGTGCAGGGAGTGTTTTACTAGGGGGTGGTGTGTGTGTGTGTGTTTCACTGTAAGCACACTGCTATGCACAGCCATCCAGAACAGTGTGAGCTGACAGGGAGGAAGACTGTTAGTAAACAAAACAGTCCTCCTTCCCATCGCTGATCATCGGAAATCACGGGGCACCGGCGAGTAATTACTGGCAGGGGCCTGGTGACTGACAGCCATGGCCGTGAATGGTGGTGCAGGTAGGGAGTGTGTGCAGCTCGCGCGCTCCCCCTACCCGGAAATGCAAAATCTTGTATATATAGATGATTTTGCACACCCGTGCCACCCTGTAGCAATATTTTTGCTATAGGGTGGACGAGAAGCAGGTATTATCCAGTAATGTAAGCGATCTGTTAAAGTAATCAAACTGACTAAAAGTGATGAGGCTACTCTCATATGGCACCCCCAATGGGTTTAGACAGGTGCAGTCTACTCTCCCCACTGTAGGTGGCACTCAACGGGAGCAGTACTACAGCCAGAGAGGAAGTCAAGAGAAACCTGTGGTTTCCTGGTCCCCTGAGGCAGTGTTCCGGTTGGCTATGCTGAATTCAGTTGATCCCTGGTGGCCATCTTGGGTCAGCAGAGTCTTTTTAAGTCCCTGTCCCCCAGGGTTTTGCGTGCATTTGTGAAGTGACTAGAGTAGAAAAGGGGACCTATCTGTTAAGGAAAGTGATTAGCGGCAGGCAGAGGTTTCAGACAAGTAGGGACAAGCTAGGGACACACCATCCTTCATCAGAAGCTTCCCCATTGGGACCAAACTGGTCAAGACACATTCAGTCCTGTCAGACAGATGCTGTTGGTGCATCTTAGCTTCTGCAATTCCAAATTACACAGAACTAGGAGTATTTTCCCAGTGGGGCATTCTTGCGCTGGGCTATTTGTAAGTTGAGCACTCTCTTCAATACAAGTTTGGGTTACCTGCATTTTGCTGCTGCACCACGCTACCCACACTGGGATTCCTGGTAAAAGTCCAAAAATATAAGAAAATCAGTGAAAGAACTATGCCAATGTTCTTAGAAACCAAAAGGGATTTTATTCTTCTTATTTATTTATTCTGTTAGAATGGAACAAGCATCCAACAAGATCCCCTAGGACAAGGGTCCGATATAGATGAAGGGAATCAGCTATAAACAGAATGAAGCAGCTGGGAGCTATCATTTCTCAGTGATTCAAATGCCATTTTTCTGTGTGTTATTTTCAGTTGTCAGTTTTTCTATAGTATGCTGTATACATCGTACATATGCAGCACTTCTCAGGCAGCTTAAGGACATCCCACCAGGCAAGGGAATTTTGTATGTTTAATGATGCCTTTTGAGCATTAGCAAAATTGCTGCCCCCCACCAAAGTGAACTTTACATTTTTTTTTTTGCTTTGCTTTGCTTTGGTACATGTTCTGCAGGGCAGTGCCCAAATCCCCATGCCCTTCGCTTGACGACCCCTTGCCTTTTAGCCTAGAAAATGTCTGTTATAAAGTTATGTTTAAAAGCTATTGCTAACTTGTGCAAACATCCAACCAGACAGATCTTGGTCTGATCTGATGCTGTTAAGGTCTAATAGAGCCCAGATGTCTCAGTATAGCCTCATACACACAATGAGAATATTGGACAAATGATCATTTTTTTATATGCTAGTCTCATGTCAAAAGTGAAGAGGTTACTAAAATTACAAAAATTCTTGTAGGACACAAAGGAAAATCAGAAGTGATGTAATGTAGTTGTATTGTATAAAAAACTGTACTGATTAAATTAAAATCGTACGATCTGGTGTCGTACCAGAAAAATGTTTGTGCTTGTCCCTTCAAATAATTTAGGACGAAAGCTGTGCACTAAAAATCAGATTATCGTACGATTGCTTCAAAAGTGGTATTTTTTATACATAAACAGGGGGTGCAGCGCTATGGAATCATAAATAATTCATAAAATATAAATGAATAAAATGCTAAAAACACGGTAAAAACAAGTGTCTTGTCCCTTCAAATAATTTAGGACGAAAGCTGTGCACTGAAAATCAGATTATCGTACGATTGCTTCAAAAGTGGTATTTTTTATACATAAACAGGGGGTGCAGCGCTATGGAATCATAAAATAATTCATAAAATATAAATGAATAAAATGCTAAAAACACGGTAAAAACAAGTGTCTCAGTGTGCATAAATGATTGTGAATAACACACTATGGTGCAAAACACATAAAAGTGCAAAGAGTAAAGGTAAGCATACCCCCTATGAATACGTGCGGTTGCACGAAACGCGCCAGATGGGAGCTACAGTGCAGTGACGTCACGCCGCCACCGGTTGTTTGGTACCTTTGGTGTTCAGCGGTTCTAGCGACTTTTAGCGCTCACTTATCCATTACTTGTGGTATTTTTATACGAATTTCTGATCGTGTGTACTAGGCTTAACCACTTGACAACCTCTCTATAGCATATGTACTGCTACAGGGTGGCCACGCTGTGCAACATTATATAAATATAAATGATCTTGCATTCCGGGTAGGAGGCGTGACCGTGTGCCGCCCTGCCTATGCTAGAGTTGGTTCCTAAGGATGACAATCACTGGGTCCTGGCTGGCAATTCCTGTCCGGGACTCAGTGATCACCGGAGAAAGGCGAAGCTGAAAGGGGAGAGATCTGTGTGTAAACAACACAGATCTCTCTCCTGTCAGCATGGGCGTTCTACTTTCTCTCTGCAGAGAGATAGAAAAACAGCAGGCCTCCCTAGTAAAACAGCACACACTTTTCACAGTAAACCACAAACAGCACACTGTTAACCCTTTGATCGTTCCAGATGTTAACCCCTTCCAGTGTCATTAGTACAGTGTCCGTGCTTTTTATTAGCACTGATCACTGTATTAGTATCACTGGAGATGCCAGTGGCAATTAGTCAGTTCCCTACCCAGTTTCACAATGCCTGCTGCAGTCCTGCTATAAGTCGCTGATCGCCACCGTCGCCAAGAAATAAACAAATTAAAATTCCAGTATATATACCACCATTTGTAGACGCTATAACTTTCATGTAAACCAATTAATTTACATTTTTTTTTAGCAAAGACATGTAGCAGAATACATTTTGGCATAAATTTATGAAGAAATGTTTTTTTATTTTGGATGTTTTATAGCAAAGAGTCAAAAGTATTGTTTTTTTTTTTTCAAAATTGTCAGTCTTTTTTGTTTATAGCGCAAAAATAAAAATGCAGAGGTAATCAAATACCATCAAAAGAAAGCTATTTGTGGGGGAAAAAAAATGACATAAATTTAATTTATGTACAGCATAGCATGACCACATAATTGTCAAAAAATGGCCTGGCCAGGAAGGGGGGTAAAAAGGACCTGTCACTGCTGATTGTTGTCACAAAGGATGTTTACATTCCTTGTGACAGCAATAAAAGTGATTTAAAAAAAATGTAAAAAAAGCCCCCAAATAAATAATATTAATAAAAAATTAAAGCACCCCCGTTTAAAAATTAAAGGTGAATGCACGTGTTGGTTCGCATGCTGTAAAGGCATTTAAAGTGTTGCCTAGGTACTGTAGCTTGGTACCGTTCCACAAGTGTATGCAATTTTAAAGTGTGATATGTTAGGTATCTATTTACTTAAACAAAGATATAAAACTTTTCCCTTTCACAAATAAATGACAAAATAATAAAATAATAAAAATACAAATAAAAATAAAAATAGTCCAAAATATCAAAATATCCCAAATTCAAAATAATAAAATTCAAAAACCCTTCTGAAAAAGTCATAGGAAGTGACAAACGCATCAGTGACACGTGACGTCAGACATATCGACGCTGACCGGAAGTGCGATCGCAGCCATCTTGGAAGTGGGAACATGTGGCCAATGTTTCCCTGATTCTGTCTACACTTGGATTCCCTGTGAGGAGGAGCTGTTTTCACTGAAATTTTATGTGAGTTACCAAATAAAGGAGGATTTTTTATACATTATCTGGGATTGTGGATTTTCTTGAGGATAATGGAAGAAAAACCCTAATATTGGATGAAATCGCTATGAGGAGAAATCTAACCCTGAGTGGTGTTATGCCTTGATGTTTCTTATATAGGGTAATTACCCATCAGTATATGTGTTGGAGAGTGTCGTTTTGGGTTTAGGTGATCACTGATGTATACAGGGTGTGGTGATACACACTTGCAGTGATATTTTTGGAGTTGTTTTACACTTTGGGCTTAGGACACTATTCTATGCGAGAGTGTTTCACATATATCTATTCACTATAATATATGCATGTGTATGGAAACTCGTGTATAGAGTATACACATATATAGATTTTGCATGCTGCACAGTGAGTGGCACGTGTGATTTATTATTTAAAAGGTATGACACTATGTCAAGTTTTTTCTTTTTGAGGTGTACTGTCATCAGGATTTGTGGGTATTGAGAAGGAGTTTTTGAAAGAAGAAAGAAAATTATTTACACCTGTGGGGATTATTTTTGAATTTTGGATATTATTTTTGATTATTTTTGAATTTTATTATTTTGAATTTGGGATATTTTGATATTTTGGACTATTTTTATTTTTTTATTGTATTTTTATTATTTTATTATTTTATCATTTATTTGTGAAAGGGAAAAGTTTTATATCTTTGTTTAATTAACCTTCAGGGGTGGAGGTGGACAGCTTTTCTGGGATGTTGTAGGGTGATTTGTTGCTGTGCATAAATATAAGTATCTATTTACTTGTCGCAACATCCTCTTTTATATTTTACAAAAAAAGGGTGTTCTATTGTGTTTGTTTTCATTAAAATGCATTTAATGCATTAAAATGCATTAAAGTGTATTTCAAAAGTTTTTACAAAAAATTTGCATTTAAAAAACTCCAAAGCAAATACTGTGTAAGAATAGGCTTAGGAAGCTAATGGTTAACACTTGGCAGCCATTAACTATAATCAGATTCGACTTCGGCGCTGAACTTTATTAAACTTTTGTGAATCCAACCCAAACCTAAATGTGACCAGTTGTCTTGGAAACCTATATTCTTCGCATTGGAGTGGATTTACTAAAGGCAAATAGGTTTTGCACTTTGCAAGTGTATCTGCATTCCAGCTTGGTAAATGCAGGGAAACTTTACTTTGCAAAGAATATCCAACCACATGAAAGGAAAATAAAAAAAACAGCTTTCTTGCATATGATTGGATGATAGAAGTTAGCAGAGCTTCCCCTCCATTAATAAGTTCTGGAGCAACTGCACTTGCAGTGTGCACAGCCTATTTGCCTTTATAAAATCAACCCCAGAGCCACTTGACCAAGGGACTAAAGATGGCTTGTAAAGTCCCACTAAACCAATACCTACCCCCCATACTTAACCTAAGTAACCACACTGACAACAAAATGGAGTTAATGCCCCAAAAACAGCCTTTTATTACAACCATCAATAAATAACATTTAAATAATAGAAACGCAGTATAAACATACGTGTTTTCAAGGTCCCAATAGGCATCAAGAAAAACGAATACCTGCGTCCTGCTTAACTAGGCCTCCAGCCGCAACACTACTGACCCGGAGACACCACCGCAGATAGCCTCACCAGAACAACTGGAAGCCGTACCTCAGATGGGTTGCTAGAAAGTGCCTTTTCTTGTGCCCACATTAACCAACGAGGACCTTGCACCCCGCTGGACGTCCCCCAGCACCAACATGGCACAACCACCACCAAGACAAAACCATAAAACAACGGGCGGGTGGAAGGGAAGTTTGCCTTGTGAAAACTCTCTTCAGACTGAAAACCCCCTGCCACACCCTGTAAGACCACCCCTCGTAGCTCCCCCCACTCCTTCCTTAAAACTATTTTTGACTCCCCCTTATGCTAATGGAACTCTGCCTCTCCCAACCCCCTTAAACCCCTGTCATGCCGGCCCTTCGTTCAGGTCTTCTTACTCCAGGCCTTCCTTTAATTAAATCTATGCTTGATTTGTCAACCTCGGTCCTTCAATCTTTACAATAAAGATATGAACTACAATACATGGGTTTAAATTGGCCACAGCAGACCTTTTATTAACAAACCAATAAATAACATCAATTAAAAACAATTTCAACAATGCAACCAGGATGGGGTCTTTGGATGCCCTTAAGGCACACTTTATCACTGTAATTGCCCATGTCCTTAGCCACACCATGATGGGCTTGAAAACATTACAACCTCACACATTCTTACATTTTCACCCCGGGGGCCTAGCTCCTGGGATAACCACCAATAACCAACTAGGAGGAAGCGCTATGCCCTAGATGGGCCCACTGTTTTTTGTAGCAATATAGTAAGACACTGACTCCCCAAAGACCCCATGTTACGATAAACTGCTGTGACAATGTTCCCTTATTTTTTAATGGCCTGAACTTGGCCTGAACTTTCCGGAATGAATACCCAGCATCCCTTGCACGAACCACCCTTGTGGCTTCACCCTGCCCATCTGACATTAGACTTCCAATCAGGTAAGAACTACGCCCCTACACTGCCAAGGTTTAACCCTTCTCTGACCTGTTCCTACCTTTAGTCATGCCGGCCCTCTGTCCATTCTATTTCTCTGGGTTGCACTATCCTTATACAACTTAACTATTCAAAGGAATCAAACTTCATTTTTATTTGTACATCTACTTCAAATTAATAAGGTTACATTTCTATTATCACTAAAACCCAGTCACCCAGTTAATTTTCTCAATAATCATCAGGTATACAGCTGGCATTTCTCTTTGACTCTTATCATTATTTTCTAAATCACATTCAAAGAAGAACAAAAGAAGATGGTTGTTTCATAACTTGTGGATGAAATACCATCCTGTTAATGGATATGCCTAGCACCCTGACATCTGGCGCCGTTATTTTCATTTGGACTGCTACCTCTCAGACTTAATTCCAATCTGTTACATGAAGAGATGGAAGGGAGGTGGGAATTTCAGTTTTTGAAATGTCAATATTTATGATTATTTAAAATTGCTTTTTTAAGATATGCAAAACTATTGTATGATTTAAAAGGAAAGAAAAGTATGATTTTAATATTGCAAGGGAATTATCACTTTTTTTAAAATCCTAAATCGTTAAAATTCCTAGCAGTTAAAGGAGATGTAAACCCTAAGTGGATGGCATTTAGCTTTCAAAGGACCATGTATCCAAAACAATTGTATTTTTTTTAGATAAAATGCAGTTTCATCTTTTTATCCTTTTTTGTATCTGAGTGCTGTTAAAGAAGAATTCCAGGTATGAATACTTTTACATACTTACATTGATCCAGCTTGCACCAATGTAACTATATATATACCATACCTGTTGGATGCCTCTAGAAGCTTGAAATCATGGTAGTTGGCACCACTACTCCAATGATCTCCACTAGCTTCCCCCACCTTGTCCAATCAAAGAACGTTTTACATTCATTGAGAAAATGCACAGCAAAGTATAAATGGTACCCGTGCCAATCTCCCATGTTCACAGTAAAGCAAGGTAGCCGCTCAGAATGGGACCAGGAAACTTGAGGAGATCACTTTAGTTGGGTTGCCTACTACAGTGATTTTCAGCTTCTAGACCAACCTTTTCAACACAAAGGAACCCTTAAAATAGCTTTCTGGTCTCAGGTAAACCCTGTTAAAATAATACTATATCTACAACTCGTGATACATTAGGCCCCTTTCAGACGGGGCAGATCCATCAGCATAATCCACCTTATCTCTCTGCTGATCCCTGCTGAGCAGGCGGATAACAGGCCTCTGTCCGCTCTGCTGCTGCAGAATGGACACAGACACTTCCTGCTGATTTCAATGGGACGGTCAGATGGAAACAGACCGCCTGTCTGTTTCCACCTGATTGTCATCCAATTAGATCTTCTGGATGGCTGGGGAACGGATCCCTATCCGTCTGTTTTTGGTGTACGGGATCAGATTGGATGCTGGCAGGTGTGAGCAAACTATTGTCCACTGACATCCGCCGGTCCATAAAAGTCTATGGGTGGACCGATCCCCAAAGTCCACTCGTGTGAAAGGGCCGTTAGTGTGATGGTCAGTGGGAAGAATGTCCCTTACACTTGAGGCCATTGGGAAGAATGAACCCTCTACAGATAGCTAAAAAGATCATTGATATCAGTGGGAACTTATCTGAGAGGCAGAAACTACTAATTGCTCAAGGAACCCCTAGAAACCTCTGGAGGAAACCTATGGGTCCATGGAACCCTGGTTGAGAAACCCTCTTCTAGACTCTCTAGAGCAAGTGTCAAACACATGTGTCAAACGCAAGGCCTGCAGGCCGAACCTGGCCTACCAAGTCATTTCATGTGGCCCTTGCACCTTGTATTGGATAAATAATTTGACTTTGATGAGTGATATGTAAAGAGTAATTTTGTGAGTGGTTTTAAGTATCTTTTAATTTATTGATTGTTATATAGAATTACGGTATGTGGACCACTTTTTTCTTATGGGTTCTAGTGAATAATGGAGATTGTGGAAAGTGGACAATATTGATCTTCTTGAGGAGATCTATGCAATGCCTTTGTGCCAATCAGTAAAATGAGAGACAAATTCCATTGGTGAGTGTGGTGACCATTGGGAGCGGTTTGCACTAAGAGCACTGAGGTGATGGATTGAAGTAATTTACAAGATATATGAAATATTATGAAGATATCATGGATCTATATGTACGTTCACTCATTAACTTTTTTCAAATTGCACATGGACTTCACTTTAATTTGCACGATTATGTAATGTTTGATATATGCATTTGAGTTGTGATACCGGAGAGTATTTTAGCACAATTATTCTCTTTTATGAGTATTCATTTATGATTTAAGGTAGCTGTAATTCTCATAAGGGTATTATAGTTGTAGGTATTTTAATTTTCTTTTTTGTATTAGTTTTTGGTTGTTCCTAAGCACAGGGTATTTAAAATTTTGGATTTTTTAAGCCCTGCAATAATGCCAAGACTGGAGTATTCAAGTTAGAAAACAGTTGTTTATTACAGGGAAGTTGTAAAAAAATATTAAGCCTTTATAAATGTAATTATCAATGTGCCTGGAGTTGGGCTTTAGCAAAACTTTTTAAAGCTGAGCTCCTGGGCTCTCCCTGCAATGCAAGTGTGGAATTCTCATTTTTTTGCTTGGGGTAACATTAGAAAGCATTTTTACTTACCTTATCCTTCACAACCCTTCTTCTATGTGATCAGTCCCCCAAAGTCTCTTCTCTTCGGTGCTCTGTCCATTGAAGGCTTGCACCATGCAGTACCAGTCATGCATTGTAGTGAGAATGCTGAGGGCAGATCCACAACCCAGAGCCTCTACCCATGAGATGGAAGAGAACAGAGCTGGTTTCTGGGGGAGACAAAGGTAAGTTAAGTAAAAGTGTTTTTTACTGGTATTACAAGCAAAAATTAGCATTTAGCTCTTGAGGTACATAGGGGCCCCCACTGCAGGGGCAGTTTTCTTTTCTCAAGAGTATAGTTTTAAATATTAAAAAGGACAAATTAATTCCCAGCATACCCAATATTGTCCCTAAATTAACCAAACCTGAAACTTCCTTTCCATTATTGTCAAGCTATGCTCCATTCTGGACTAAATTCTGAACAATCCTACTGAATTAAGTTTTCGGTATGTGTAACGCCATCCAAGTTTGCTAGATACATTTTTTTAGACAGAGGCTGAGCAGCAGCCGGGGATGAGTCAGCCTGTGAGTGAGGCAGGAGTTCACCTCAGGACAGGCTAGGGAGGTTGTTAGGGCCAGAGCTTCTCAAGCCCTGTCACCACTCCAGAAACCTGAAATCTTTCTGGAGGAGGGACAGAGGAAGCAGGGAAGGAGCCATCCCAGCTTAAGGCCTGAAGGCAGCCACCAACCCACCCCCACCCACCAAGCAAACAGGGAAAGACAGCGGGAGAACTCCTACACCCCCTGGGCCAGATGAGGGGAGAGAGTGGTCAGGTGCAATACGCAACTAGTCTTCATCTGGGACTTGCTAAATTTACAGCTCTTGGCCCCCTTTCCCAGGGATACCCTCAAAGCAGCTGGGTGAAGAGGAAGAATCATCCAGAGTCTGAGGAGGTACAGCAGAGAATCTTTGGTGTTCTCAAAGGAGAGACTGTTGCTATCCACTTTTTTTCTACATAGTTGCTAAGAAGCTTGTCCTTGGTTTCTGCAGTTCCTCAGGCATCCCATATACCCCTAGACCCCATCCAGGTTCTAAACCCCTTAATAAAATCACAAAACCAAGCTAAAGGGCTGTTGCACACTGTGTGCAAAGTGTGGAAGAAAATGTGCACTCACGACTCCTAAGAGGGTAGTATTACATATTTATTATTTTCATCCACTTCAAGTATTCCAAAAGCCAAAAACAAGCATATAATATATTGCTGCTTAACAGTCTTTAGATTTGTGGTTGCATTAGTGGTACCTACATTTTCTGCAAGTAGGGAATATCCATTGACCCTGCCAAAAATCCAATGTCATTGTAACTTCCTGTGCACCATACTACATCCTCAATATTATCAGCCTTTTCTGTTCTCTTATGTGGACTACAGATCACCTCCCCTATATTCTGGTGATGTGGAGAGGGAGAGGTGTTTGTAGCCTAAATTAAGTCAGAGAAGCACAGAGTGACAACACTGTTCCTTCATAACTATAGAAAATTTAATGTGTGTTGTTACTCCAGGACAGGAAGTTTATTACTTGCAAGTTCACCAGGTGAAAATAAAACAAGAAAAGCCTGAAAAAAAAAACCCAAATGCAGCCACCACATCTGAGAACTGGTAAGCTGCAACATGTAAAACTTTTGTACCTTGGTTTACACTGTAATGTAAACCTGTCACAAATCTGGGCACTTCACACTGACCAGATTATAAAATAATATATAGTATATATATTATCCACCAAAGTTTTACACTTGGCAAACTGCAGTCAAGCAAGTACCATTCTCCTGGCAACCGGCAAACCCAGAAATTTCCATCGGATTGCAAGACAGAGAAGACAGAGAACTGCGATTCGTCACTCCAGAGAACATGTCTCCACTGCTCTAGAGTCCACTCCACTGCTTTACACCACTGCATCCGACGCTTTGCATTGCACTTGGTCATGTAAGGCTTGGATGCAGCTGCTCGGCCATGGAAACCCATTCCATGAAGCTCTCTATGCACTGTTGTGCTAATCTGAAGACAACGCGAAGTTTGGAGATCTTTAGCTATTGACTCTGCAGACAGTTGGCGACTTCTGCGCACTGTTCATTTCAGCATGCGCTGACCCCGCTCTGTCATTTTACATGGCCTACCACTTGGTGGCTGAGTTGCTGTTGCTCCCAGTTGCTTCCACTTTGTTATAACACCACTAACAGTTGATTGTGGAATATTTAGAAGTAAGGAAATGTCACGGATGGACTTATTGCACAGATGGAAACCTATCACAGTATCATGCTTGAATTCACTGAGCTCCTGAGAGCGACCCATTCTTTCACAAATGTTTGTTGAAGCAGTTTGCATGCCTCAGTGCTTGATTTTATACACCTGTGGCCATAGTGGTAATTGGAACACCTGAATCCAATGATTTGGAGGGCTGGCCCAATACTTTTGGCAATATAGGGTATATGTAACACCCTGCTATAAATGTTTGATGCAGGATATTGAAGCCAACACAAGATGGTAGTGTCCTGCAGGAACAGTGGCATTCTCATGCTGAAGAACAGTTCTATGGAACTTGTATGCTGAATTTCAGGACTTTACTGAGGAGCAGTGCAATTGGAAACTGCATTTCCCAGAGGAGCTGGCATGTGGGAGGGGGAAAAATATATGTAAAATCCTGGGAGATGGGACAGGAAGTGAGAGGGAAGAGATCTAGAGAGAGTGTTGATCGATGGAGAGCCAGACTGGGCCGCAGGAAGAGAGAGAAGGGAGACAAAGAGAGTCTGCTGATTGCTGACCCTGCCGTTTGATCTAGAGAGCTGATCTGTGGTGATGGACGCAGCACTGCAGTCGAGTTTGAGTATGTACCATCTGGAGAGAGGGGAAGACCACAAGGATCCACCAGCTGCCACCCCTCGGGTGAGAGAGTCTTGCCTAGGAAAAGAACATTGACGCTTGCTCCATAGTTGCTATTTCTTTCACATAGCTGAGGATATCACATAAAGTCACTATAAGTTATGGCCTAGTTCTTTTGGCCGCTATTGTTTAACCACACTTGACACAGCCTTGACACCTGCACTGATAGCAGGACAGACATCCCGCAGGCTGAACCACGGCCATGACATTATCATCATCAATCTACTCTTTTAGAGAGATCTTTTTGCTACTGTGCCAATAGTCTTGCAGTCCAGAGAGAAGCTACTGTATCAACAATCCCTTCTGCCAGCTTAACATCCTTTTTCGTCAAAGCTACTGGTGACCAGTGCACTTAAAGGGACATTACACCAGTCTGCTCCCATTTTCAGGGGGAGTGCTGTTCCTCTTTTGCTTTATTGCATTGCTCTTCAGAGAATCACTATTCACACTTCTACCTATTGTGCACCAACTGGGCCCCAGCACGCATGCAGAAGACTCTTCACTGAACTTAAAGGGACATTGGTTACTTCAGGGGAAAATAGGTCTTTTATTTCAGGCTAAATCCCTGCTATCGAGTCCTGGGGGCCTAGAATGAGCTAGCCTTGTCTGGTTTGTTAGTTCTTGTTCATGCTCGATGGGGATTCAATAGTTACCTGAGATTGGAGACAGTATATTATCCCTGAAAGCAGGCCTGCTAAACAGTAATTGGTACTTTACTGGTGGATACTCTTACTTAAAGTTGAAAAGGGTAATTATATTTGTTCCATATGCCAATGCTATCTTTTTTTTTACCAAGCTACGTTCAAATTCAATATAAACATAATATTGGTTTACACTAACTTGTGTGTGAGTCGATTTTACAGTGGTGACTTATTCTGATCATGAGCATACAGTGGTGTCAGCAGAGGTTGGGCTTTCAGAAGGAGGTCCAGACTGACTGCGAATATAGTTAAAAAAAAATTAAAGGAACACTTTTTAATCAGAATATAGCATCAAGTCAATGACACTTCTGGGATATTGATCTAGTCAGTTTAAGTAGCAGAGGGGGTTAAGTAGCAGAGGGGGTTGTTAGTTTCAGCTGCTTTGGTGTTAATGGAATTAACAACAGATGCACTAGATGGGCATCAGACGACCCCCAAAACAGGAATGGTTTTACAGGTGGAGGCCACTGACATTTTTTTTCCCCTACTCATCTTTTCTGACTGGTTTTCACTAGTTTTGCATTTGGCTAGGGTCAGCACCACTACTGGTAGCATGAAGCCATACCTGGACCCTACAGAGGTTGCACAGATAGTCCAACTCCTCTAGGATGGAACATCAATACGTGCCATTGCCAGAAGGTTTGCTGTGTCTCCCAGCACAGTCTCAAGAGCATGGAGAAGATTCCAGGAGACAAGCAGTTACTCTAGGAGAACTGGACAGGGCCGTAGAAGATCCTTAACCCATCAGAAGGACCGATATCTGCTTCTTTGTGCAAGGAGGAACAGGATGTGCACTGCCAGAGCCCTATAAAATTACCTCCAGCAGGCTACTGTTATGAATGTCTCTGACCAAACAATCAGAAACAGACTTCATGAGGGTGGCCTTAGGGCCCAACATCCTCTGGTGGGCCCTGTGCTCACTGCCCGGCACCATAGAGCTCTATTGGCATTTGCCATTGAACACCAGAATTGGCAGGTCTGCCACTGGCACCCTGTGCTTTTCACAGATGAGAGCAGGGTCACCCTTGGGTGGCACATGTGACAGACGTGAAAGGGTCTGGAGAACGTTATGCTGCCTGTAACATCGTTCAGCATGACTGTTTTGGTGGTGGACTTCTACAGGTCTGCAGACTTCTACAGGCTAGAAAATGGCACCCTGACTGCCATTAGGTATCGGGATCCTTGGACCCATTGTCAGACCCTACACTGGTGCAGGGGATCCTGGGTTACTCCTGGTGCACGACAATGCCCGGCCTGATGTGGTGAGAGTATGTAGGCAGTACCCGGAGGATTAAGGAATTGATACCATTGAATGGCCTCCAAGCTTGCCTGACCTAAATCCAATAGAGCACCTCTGGGATATCATGTTTCAGTCCATCCGACGCCGCCAGGTTGCACCTCAGACTGTCCAGGAGCTCAGTGGTGCCCTGGTCCAGATCTGGGAGGAAATACCCCAGGGCACCATCCTCATTAGGAGCATGCCCCAACATTGTCAGGCATGCATACAAGCACGTGGGAGCCATATAAACTACTGGGAACCATTTTGAGTTGCTGCAATGAAATTTCAGCAAAATGGACTAGCCTTCTTCATAATTTTTTCACTTTGAATTTTGGGCTGTCTTTGAATTCAGTCCTCTGTAGGTTGATAATTTTCATTGCCTATATGAAGCAGGCAGGAGAGAATAAGAAGAATGTGTAATGTGCACAATAAGGCTTTATTAAAATAATTGGTGCATAAATTAAATTAAATTAAATTTTACATTAATGCATTTGTCTGCTATTATAAATAGAGCACTTTTAGAAGAATCTTGGTTGTTTTTTGCAATGTACAGACTCTCCATATACACTAAGTGGCAGAAAATGTAAATCATACTTTACAAACTTAAATTTGTGTACGCTTTTCTGATATCAAGTAATAAGCTAAACTATGAATAACACATCTCATCTGGAATCCTCGTAATCAGGACAGACAGCATAATGTTTGTAGAGTAGCTTGGCACCTGAAATGACTGTCTGCAAAATTTTGTTGGGAGAATTATTGGTATTATTATATAAAATGCCCCCCTTTACCTCAGTTGATACAAGATATAATGGTCCTCCATTGTACACATGAAGATGATAAGAGGGTCAGGGAGAGGACCTGAACAGTTGGCACAACCAGAAAAAATGGAAAGGAACAATGCAGTACCTTGGATCAACAGGATCGAAGATATGCAGGATTGAACAAGAGAGGGCTCATCGCATATTTCTAACATATTTTAAACATTGGATGAATATCCGTTAATAAAAAGAATTACTTAAATACTACAGTATGAGGCTTTCATATCCTTCGGCTCTGATCTGAGCTAAGATCACAGAGTCCCGCAGAGGAAGCGTGGCTGCAGAGGAGGCTGGTATCCAGAGGAGGGATCCTTGTTCCAGGCTGGCTGACTGTTCCACTTAAAGGGGCTCCCCACAGAGTCATATTGGTTTAAGGCGCATAACCTATATGCATCTGGTGAGTGCGCATTTTATACATTGCTGCACGGATTAAAATCACACAGATTTCTTAATGAGAGGCACCTATGAAGTTTTAAAGTGAAGCACGTATTTGCTGACCTGACCAAGTCAAGCCTGCACTGCTTTTGAACACTTCTTATCTATTAGACTGTTTATCATCACATTTCATTTTGCGCTTGATAAAGCGCAATACCTTAGATTGTACGCCCCTTGAGGGTTAGGGACTGATGTGAATGTACAATATATATGTAAAGCGCTCCATAAATTGACGGCGCTATATAAGTACCTGAAAAAAATAAATAAATATAAATAAAGCGCCATATCCACCTGGAATTTTGCATATATTATTATACTGTTCATTACTTTTTTATTTCTTCATTTATGTAATTTATTGAAGTTATTAAGCTATTTCGCATGTCTAGCGCTGCACTTTTATATTGATGAGTAGAAATTTTACACTTACATTTAAAAGTGCTTATGTGATATGGCTTGCTCCTCTAGAGAGAGCGCTCCACTACAATCTCTAAGGAGCCAGTGTGTGTCCCCTTGTTTGGTGCAAACAAAAAATCAAAAGGATCAAAACATAATTGCAGCAGTTGTTGATATGTGTTCCCAGGCCAAAGAAATATATACAAAAAAAATTCAGCGCAATCAAATATATAACCTTAAACACCAAATGAAATCAAGTTACTAGAGCAATGATAATACTTTGCATGACAGTAGATGTTTGAAATTGTCACTTTATATGTTGTGAAGATATTTTTCTTAATTTTGGCATGGGGCGTCCCCTCTAAATCCATACCAGACCCGAAGGGCTTGGTATGAATGGAGGGGGGTCCCCATGATGTTGTTTTATTTATTATTGTGCCAGTTTTTAAATGTAATTACCACTTTTTTTTTTCTTCACTATAGTTCACAGAATCAGCTGCCACTTTCCCCCCAGCTAAAAGAGAGAAAGTTTTCTTTTAGTTTATTTCCCAGAGTTCAAAGAAGCAATGTTTCCTTTAACTCCGGGGCAAGTGACAGCTAATTCTGTGAGCTATAGTGAAGAAAAAAAAAGCCGGTAATTGTATTTAAAAATCGGCACCGACATACACTTCGTATTGCGAAAAAATTCTTAAAAAATTTGTACACCGAGGTATTATTTTCAATGGATTTTCATTTGTAAACCACAAATTATGTTAACCAAAGCATTCGTAAACAGAGGTATACTTGAATATTATTGTACTTTAAATATATGTCCTCGTAT